ATCACGACAAAGTATAAACATTTATGGACCGAGAGCAGTTTTATCACCATCCTCAAGAGGTCACGTCAGACGTACTGGTGCTGAGACGCGCTTCAGATGAGAGTTCTGTTCCTCCCCTCAAAGAATTCACGTATTCTCGTAATTTGGCGACGGGAGAGAGTGAGCGAAGACTCGTTTAATATATGAGGAAAATTTCGAAGGTCGCGGTCCAGTGGGTGGCACGCGTTCTTCTTATCCATGAGGTCCATGTTTCAAATCTTGATCTGGAGACCAGCTAGCTAATCTGTTGTGGTTCTCCCCAGTCTCTCATAGCAAGTAACTGTTAGTGCCTTATATTAGGTCACGGCCGCTTCCTTCAACATTCTTTCTACTTCATTATTAACTAGTCATCAGTATACTGTGTGAACTTAGCGACTGAAAGCGTCGTTAAACATGTCAAGAAAATGTTTAACTTTATTTGACTAAAATATATATTTATGTATATGACGCCTTTACATGTTTCGGCCAATGAATCACCATCTTCAGAAGGAAAATAACAAACACTTTGAGGAAACTACTATTACATAAATCATAGTAACGCCTCAACAAACAACGAAAGGACTAACGGATTATCAACAAACACAGACTCTTTAACTACATACAGAAGAAAAAACACTGCCCGGACCTCCAAGGACGGCAATTTACCCAATCTCCCGTTGATGAAAAAGGCACGAAGACACGAACCTTAGCGGTTTAAGATTGTAAATAATAAGAATTTTATTAGCGTAGCTGGTTGAGGGGCTATGCTACAAGCCGGAAGGTAGGGGGTCCAAGGCCCGGTGAGGTCAATGGATTTTTTCAGTTGACCTAATCCTTCCAGCTGCACTATGGCCCTGCGGTCGACTCAGCCTCTAACAGAAATTAATACCAGGAATTAATTAAACAATTTTCATGGGGAGTAAAGGGCGGCCGGCGCGTAAGGCTGACAACCTCACCACCGTCTTTGAGCCGATTGTCTAGATAATATGGGACCCTCAACGTTTCGCAACCCTATGGGCCTTCACGGCCTGTTACAGAGATAGCTTTACTTTTTATTAATATTTTGACTCAGCACATTCTAACTTAATTAAAATCTCTATATAAAATTTTGAACAAATTTGAACTCGATGTACTATGACTTATGTAATAGTTTCCTCAACGTGTTTGTTATTTGCCTTCTGAAGATGGTCATTTATTGACCGAAACGTGTAAAGGCACCACATATATATATGAGTCACACTAGACGGTTTAGTCAAATAATTCTATAAAATCAAGAATAAGAATATAAGCGCTGTGTACAACTGCATATCACAAATGTCGGATACAGACTATGCACTCTCCCACAAAGACAGTGCGTCGGTACGTATCGTCTGAAGCTCCGGCGATAAACGGATTTCTGTTTGGTTCTTGGCACGCTGACAGCCTGACGGCTGAGGGGCGTCCAGATCTGATTGCTACGTGCGCAGGAGCGCGCGGTCAACTTAGAGCCTCCCGCAAGTCGTCACGCTTCTCAGCCGGAAGTGTTAGCCGTTCCTCCCGTACAGTCGGCCCTCGCTGCAATGGCCGACGAACTTACTGCCGACTTGCCAAGATTACAGCAGATGCTGCGAGTTATCTCTGTTGCTATCAGAGTAATGTTCGTGCTTGCCTCAGATTCAGATATTAATGCACATAAATCGAAATGCTGATTGCTCACTGAGAATACATTAGAGAAAATCGGTGTGAGATTTGAACACGACTCTTGAAAACCTTTCAGATCACTTGCACAGGAACAGGGATGTCAAATTTAATCACTTCCCGAAAAAGTATTTCTAAAGAATATAAACTTTTTACTTAGATGCGGGAATCCGTGCATAACTGCAGAGAGAATTTGCAGAACGTGCCGACATCTGGGTAAGTTTTGTTTGTAATATGTTAGGCGGAAGGTTTATCGATTGTGTTATCAGTTTGAAACTCCGCGGCTCAAAAACTGCCAACTCAGCAGCCCGTCAGTTTGCTCTAATATGTTCGCAATTTATCGGCTAAACATTCACAATTTTTTTTTAATGAAATACAGGGCCTTTTTTTTAATGCTAGTGGGGTGGGACTAAGTCCCTTGCACTGCGGCCACTTCTGGCCTATTGTACCAGCCCCAGATGATAGGTGAGGGTGATTGTGGAGCAATTGGTTGAATGAAAGTTGGTAGGGGAAACCGAAGTACTCGGAGAAAACCCGCCCCAGCGCCACTTTGTCCACCACAAATCCCACTTGACAAGACCCCGGGATAGAACCCGGGCCGCCACGGTGGGAAGCCAGCGACTAACCGCTTGAGCTATGACGCGGCCAATAAAGAGCCTTAGATGCGTAATGTAAGATGTTTAGAATGATTAATGCAACGTAACTTCGAAATCTCCTACTCATCGTTACTCGACTTCTTTCTCATAAATGAGACATTCAGATTTGGGGATAATTTTGTCCATATCTGTTCTTTCCGGTTTTTTTAAACAGCCTGTGGAACCGCAATGCGAGTCCCCCTCACAATACGTGCAGTCACTCGGAAAGGAGTGTCTGTGAACCAGCCGCCCGTAATTGTAACGTTACGTCCGTTCAGCGTAATGAAGCGTAATTCTTGTACACGGCTTATTGACAGGCGCCGAAAAGTGTTCAGCTCTCACACAAACATTTCCATTCCTAACGTGCCTGAATATTTGAGAAGAAAACAGAAGCGCATATATACATTGACGTGGCCGCTCCATAGCTGAAGCGGTTAGTCGCTGGCTTCCCACTGCGACGGCCCGGGTTTGATCCCGGGTCTGGTCAAGTGGTATTTGTGGTGGACAAAGTGGCGCTGGGGCAGGTTTTCTCCGAATACTTCGGTTTCCCCTGCCAATCTTCATTCCACCAATTGCTCCACAATCACCCTCACCTATCATCTGGGGTTGGTACAATAGGCCAGATGTGGCCGCAGTACAAGAGACTTAGTCCCACCCCAATAGCAATAAAATATTATACAATGACATATGCAACTTATTACAGTTTGCTGTTTAATGGACAGTAGCCAAATTTCGCTTGTCGCGATATGTGTTCTATGAAGACTGAGTTCCCAGTTATTTAACTGCTCTATATGAGCCTGAGGTGTTACACAGCATCGCATTAAAGTTGTGAAATTATTATAAGTGTATATATATATTTCGTATGGTTTTCAGAATAAGCAGCGATTGTTTCCCTAAAGGCAGGCCGCGCTATAGCTCGAGCGGTTAGTAGCTGGCTTCCCACCGCGGCGGTCCGGGTTCATTCCCGGGTCTGGTCAAGTGGGATTTGTGGTGGACAAAGTGGAGCTGATGCGGGTTTTCTCCTAGTACTTCGGCTTCCCCTGCCAATCTTCATTCCACCAAATTCTCCATCATAATCACCCGGGGCAGGCTACAATAGGCCAATCAGTGGCCGGCGTGCCGAGTGGACCCAGTTGGACTCCACCCCCCACTAAGCGAATTAAAAAAATAAATAATTCCCTAAAAACAGCGTGTTCTCTCTCAGATAGGAACTGAGTGTTTAACTATTATTCAGATTAAATTCGTGCTTCAGATGTTTAAGGCGTGAATTTTTAAACTATGTAATTCCGCCCCCCCCCCNCCCCCCCCCAATAATACGTAAATTCTCCCGACCCGCATGTCTGCGGTCAGCGAAAAGCACAGCTTTGCACACTATTACAGGCCCTTGTCAGCCTATACGGTGACAGTAGCAATGTACCTACTCGTAGCTTTGCGTTTTCTCTACACCTGTAGGAAGCTATGAAATATCGCTGTAAGTTCACGAAAAATGCAGTTCTGCTAATTGTTACAGGCATCTAACAGACTGTACGTTGGAAGCAGGAAACCTCTCCGCACCTACAGTAATATATTCCTGTACGCTCACGGAAAAATTGCGAAATGTTTCACCTGCTGCAGCTACATTTTCCGTGATATTCTGTATGAAATCTTATTGGCTTGCCATAATTCTATCTGGATACAACATTTTGAATAATTCTTGAGAATTCGTAGTGCTCCCTTAGATTGGGCGGCGAGTCTGTGGGGTCGTGACCCACAGTTTGAGAAGCCATGGATTAAGCTGTAGGAGCAACTGACATGACTGTTCGCGCTCAATCTGCACAAATTGTAAACTGGAAGGAAAGTACACACTGACCACACACATTAGGCACTAACCAAAGCAGGACAGATCAGAGCGGCAGGGTTGTCGAAGTGCACGGAGCACTATGGACACGAATTGCACAGCTTACTATATTTTGGTATACGGTTTTTGTTGTGGATTCGTGTAAAGAGATGGTCCGTTTTCGACATTCAACTTCAGAGATAACTTAGCAATGGCTCAATTACAAATAATGCAATTAACTTCTCGAGTACTTTGTTAACAGCCGTGCAGTTGCCACAAGTATAATTCTGTCAGCACATTGAATATGTGAAAATGCAGATCAAAATTCTTCAAGGCAGCAACATTTTGTCTACACCTGAAGTGACATTCGGTCGGTAAGCAAGATAGTGTTTGTGATGACGGGATATACCACGCGAGGGTCAGATGAAGGGAACAAGAGTTTTCCCATTTAGAATAAATCGCCCCCTGCACCACAGAATGTAAAAACCGGAGCTGAGCGATATCGTACGGACTGATAGACCGACAAACGCAGGCCACAACGGAAATGCGTCTAAATTTTACATGAGACTGGACTGGAAAGCAACGCTCCACATAGACATTACAGTCTTAATAGATAGCGGATGTTGAAACGAAACTTTCACCTGAACTGTCATTAGTGAACCGGCTAAACTTATTTAAATAATCGTTACGTAACACTGAAATACACAGAATGTTTCATAGTTTTAATGTCGTTCTTTCCAAATTTTTCAGTAACTTTCTTTCCCGACCTACGAAATATGTAAATATTTACTCGGCTCATAAGTATCAGTGAGGCTGATAAATGTCACTGATTGGGATTTAATGTATGCATGTACCTGGGGTCCTGAGTAGCACCTGTACGGCTCCTCCTGGCGGCTGCAAGGGCCGCCTGCAGCCAGCTGGGGACGGCGTCCTTACCGCCCCCACAATTGGGGCTCGCATCCGTCCCATCTCGGCAGAGGCGCCACACGTGCAGACCTCCTCCTCCTCGCCGTCCTCTACATCCTCCTCCACTTCCCCTTCCTCATCCTCCTCATCCTCTTCCTCCTCTTCCTCCTCCCGTACCAGAATCACATAATCTGCGTCGAAAAACTTGTTCTTTGATTCGTCGAACTGAACACGGTGCTTCTTCTTGGGGGCAGGCTGGTTCTGTGGGGGCGGCGGCTGCTGCTGAGGTGGGGGTGGAGGTGCAGGCAAGGGGGCGGCCTTGCCTCCCGGAATCTTCTTGTGATGTCCCCCACTGCCAGTCCTCTTCAGCACGGATTTTAGGATCGACCTTGCCGTCGAGTGGTGGTGGTGATGATTGTTCACGTGCCCATTGCAGTCATTTGCCGCCCCCGACGCCGTCTCCGTGTTGGTTCCGCCGTTGGCTATGATGACGGACTTGACGTCTGCCGGCGTCGCGTCGTTGTCGTTGGTTTTATTCTTCTGCCGCATGGCATCACCACACCTGTTGCCCACTGAACTCACTGCGTCCCTAGGGACTGCAGCATCACTCGCACGGTGGACTGGTGCCTGGTCCCTAGGGACGGGACTGCTGTTCGCTGCTGCACGTCCTCTCTCCGGGGCGTCCTGCTCCGAACTGCCTATCGAGGTGCAGTTAGTGCCGTCATGCGCCGCTTCACTTCCGGTGTCGCCACTGCTCGTGTGTTGCTCGTCCCTGGTCGATATTGGCGACGCCGTCATGCTGGGGGCGGTGCAGGGGTGGCTGTTCACCGTAGCCACCTCTATTTCATCCTCCCTATTTCCTACCTTGGTCTTCCTGTCCTTCTCTCTTACTTTATCTAAACCGTCCTCTATACACGCTGTTTGTTTTGTCGGCTTTGTCACCTCTGTCTTATCGCGTCCTTCATTTGCCGCCACCTCTTCTATTGCTTTATTTGAATCTCCATGTTCCTCCATACACTCTCCTCGTTTCGTTGATTTGGCCTGCTCTACATCACCGTCCCTTTCATTTGCCGCCGCTTTCGTCTGGGTCTCCTTGTCCACGGGTTTTCTTGTGGCCTTCTCTGATTCGGTGAATGTCAACATATGCACACTTGTCTGTGTCTCCTTATCAGAACTCCGCGCGTGTCCCATCTCTTCGCTGTCCGCAGAAATTGTTTCGCAACTCATTCCACGGCCTCCTGAGGCATCAACTTTACATGACACAGGATCATGCTTGAAACTCGCCTCGCACCTGTCAATATCCAGATGAATGTTGTCTCGCGTTGTCGTGGTAACGGCACTGGTTTCATTAACAGCGTCATCTTCATTGTCGTCAATGAAAGGGAAGCGGGTGTTACTTTTGTTGTTGCTATGAGTGGCGCCTATCAGCTGTTCTAATGCAATCGGAACAATACGCGTGGCTGCACAGCCTCTGGTTGAACTTAACCCGACGTTTCTAATATCGAAAGTCGATGAGGTCTCTGAGATTTCTTTGTCATCGTCTTCATTTAGTACGACGTCTTTGTCGCCCAGACATGATTTTTCTATAGGCATATCGCGATGTTTTAATTCAGCATCCGTCGTGTCTGTATTTACACCATCACTTCTCATACTTAACGAGATGTTTACACAACCATAGTCCATTGCGCCTGTATTCGATGTTACATCATCATTGTGTTTCATTTGTTTATCAATTAAGTCTGTATTCGTGGTTGCACCATCACTGCCGAAAGTTAACTTGACATTTTCTAGATCGATCTTCGTTTTGTGTGTAATTGCATTGTCACTAGTCGTGTTTAACTTGACATCAATGTTCGCCACTTCGGATTCGCCGCTGCCGCTGCCTCTGTCAGTATAACACTGGGAAGTATCCCCAACGTCTTCAGACTCCGCTGTGGAGTACGGGTTTCCCATCTCGTGGCCGTGTCGACATACATTCAGCATCCTCACATTGTCATCGCTGGATGTTGGATCCGGTGATTTTCTTGACGAAACGTCCGGCAGTTTCTTCCTTGTGACATCACTACTCTTTGCCTCATTGTAAGGGACGTAATGAGGTTCATATAGACGTGATTGTGTATCCTCAGATACATCGATATCCTTTGTAGACTGGCAGCATAAACAGGATACTGTGGCGTAGTTCACACCATGTGGATGATCTTGAATTTGTATATTTACTGGGCTTTGTTGATATGCAGACAAATTAACGGTTTCGTGATCCTTGACGCTAGTCAGATTGTCTGGCTTTAATCCATTATTCTGATCACACAGTAAGTAATTTTCATTGTATCCCAGGAATGTCACATGATCGCCAATTGTGTCACTTTTAAGTTGAGCCGAGTTGTGAACCCGTGTAGTGTCAAGACGAATGCCGGCCGCGGACTGCGGGAGAAGGCAGGACGGGCAGAGTGGAGGAAGCAATTGGTCACGGTATGTGAGTACTTGCAAGGTGTAGGCCAGACCCTCTCTCACCAGCCGCCCCTCCTCACCAACACTTGCTGTCTCAGATTCCTCCTCTTCAGCACTGACAGAGGTTGAACCAACACTAATCGACTCAAAATGGTTCAAGCTGCCATCTGTGACGCCTACTTCCTCAGCTTTAACACTATCTGCGTCTGGTTGCGTCATTTTTAACTCATCAACACTAACCAACGAACCTACTACCTGGGGGAAATTGGTACTGCCACTAACATTAATCTTTGTTGTTTCTGATTCGGCACTAGCGAAACTCTTACTGACTCCACCTGTGTCTTCTCCCGACTCATAATACTCATTGACACTAACCGAGTGATTCTGTTTTGGAACTCTAAATGTATCATCAGTTCCAGTAAACGACAAGGCACTAAGAACACTAGTTTCGTCACTGTCCTCATCAACAATAAATGCTCCTATGATGTTAAGATCTCGTACACTAACTGAAGACTCTGTTTTGTAAAGAATAAGCGGATCTTTATATGAGAGTACGCTTATGTTGTCTGTCTGAACAAATTTATCAGCACTAACTGGTTGCATAGTTCTTAATGAGCCATTCTCAGCACCGATAAATTCATTGTGAGAAATACTGACTCTGTCTGTCTGCACACATTTCTCAGCCCTACAAGTCTTTTTCAAAACATCGCTCCCAACACGAACTACTTCTTCTCCAAAACAAAGAGCTTCTGTTCGAGAGAGATTGTCTGTGAGGTCTAGTGCGTCTCTAACCGAAGATTCACTAAACATATCTTCTCGTATTTCTTTCGTTGGGGCTCTAACACTACAATTCTCCGTTTTCGAAGATCCTTCAATGGGCAACGTCGCCGTATCTCCGAAAACAATGTGTATCTCTACCCTCACCTCGCCAACATTAGTGACTGGCTGTGAACCTCTCAGACCCAACCCCACTGACTCGTTTCCGCCACTAACGAGTTTGTAGTCATTACTTATACTAGCTTCTAGCGTAGTCGGAGTCATGTCGAACTGGTTGACGCTAATAGCAGCACTAACGTTTTCGTTCACGCCACTGTGTACTTCGTTAAAATCATTCGTTGTAATGGCTTGTTGTGCACTAACGTCTGCGGCACGATATATTCCTCTAGCACTAACGCTGGGGTCATGGTCGGGTGCTCGTCTTGACCCCCCCACCTCCTGTTCCGTTTCCGGTTGCATGTGGAGGAATCCATGGGTTCCCACGCGTTGTGGGCCAGCACCCGCGTCTTCGGCAGCCATTGTCCTCCTATGTGGGCCCCTCATGTTCGACACGCTCGCTGGGTACTCTGTATCTGCCCCATTGTCTTCCTCTCCTTCTTCAATTACCTCACAGAGTGACCCTTTTGTCGCTGCTCCTGACAAGAGCTCCTCATTCTCCAAGTTCCCAACGTCGCGCCCTTTCTTCTGTTTTTCCGAAAAAGTTCCAGCCCTTTCTTTCTTGTATTCTTGTATTCTACCTTCACAGTGTTCTGTATCAGCTTCTGATATCATCATATCCTGGTCTGTATCACACACTCCAGTTAATGTCTCATACGTATAGTCTTCTTCCTCTGCTTTTAAAATCACCACGGCCCTCTCTGTGTTATTCTGTAACACCCCTTCACGTTCTTCTCTTAAAAAGTCAAAAGTGGCCAGAGACTTCTCGTTATTTTTTATTTTCCATCTGTATTCATTCTCCTCTAATTCTGTAATCATCAAAGTCTTCTCGGTGTTTTCTTCCTGTGACATTTTCCCTTTGTTTCCTTCTATTTCAGAGCTGTCGCTGACCACAGTCATCTGTGAATTTTTGTTTTTGTTTATCCCGTGATATTCTTCGTCCTCCATTTCCACATCCTCCTTAATACTATCACTTATTTCCACATGCTTTAACGCCTCCTGAAATAAAGTATATGTTTCTTCTGCACTGAAATCTTGTAGCTCTGATGATATATCCGCCAGTGGCGCCCTTGGACTTAGGGAGTCTGATGATGAAGAGGACGTGTCTCTGGTGTCCCAGGGTGTAACGAGCAGCTCGTCCACCAGGTCCTGTATCTCGTGACATGGCGGTAGTTTCGCCTTCATGACATTTTCGGGGGACCTTTGCACTTCCATTAGTGTGATGGGAGTACAGTAAATTCGACCAAACGCGTATTTTGCTTTTTAAAATTTAGTCCTTGACTGCACATTCTCGGAATCTTGTGTGTATATCTGTATCTTCTCACTTGTCTCTCATATATGCTAACGATAAATTTAACGAGATTCTACATGCAAAATAATATGAACTACAGTTCACTGGCTCGAATGTGAACATTATTTACCGTGATTCAAAATTGTTTTTCCTAAACATCAAAACACCACCAAACCTTCTACAGGAATACAGAATTTGTGGTTATTTACAGAATTCGCATACAAAACACGTGTTTACACTAATTCTCAATACGACACGCATCTAACCTTCGAGATTCTTATATAAAATCGCTTTCAAAGTCAGTACTGTACAAACACCACGCAAGTTTATTCCAACAAATCCTTATCTTAAACAAATTAATCACAAAAACAAAAGTCGTTCTGTCATATATTTCTTCAAGTGAACGTTACACTTTAATATCTTCTTTAGGTGCATGCCCATATTGTAGGTCCGAAATAATACACCTGTGACGTCAATTCCTAATTAATGTGTGGCCTAGTACCTAATGGGTATAGCTTGTCTGTTGTATCTTCCATGCAGTTGTTTCCTCTGTGGTCCTTGTCAGCCATGGCCGTGACATGCGCTAATGGACAGTTTGTTGTTGTTGTTACATCTCCCTTTGTAGTGTTTTCTCTGTGGTCCAGACGAAGTTGAATGTTGAAACTGGAGCACACTTGTGGTTTGTGTCTGCTTGTCGCTTGGGCTTCCTGTTATCCAAACACCTGCAAACAATCGCAAACTTTGGAGGTGTCTGCAAGCTGCTTATGTGTAATTTAAAATTAACACAACGTGTTCCCGCTAACTTTTGCTGTGCTTTCATATGCATCGATGCTTGAACAGATTTTGATTAAAAATAAGAACGTGTCACTTGGCCAGAACGTTAAAATGTAGGTCTGATATAATATTCAGGGCCCACGTCTTTGTTTCAGTACACAACTTATTCTTAAAGTTCGCTTAGTAGGGGGTGGAGTCCAACTGGGTCCACTCGGCATGACGGCCATTGATTGGCCTATTGTACCTGCCCCTGTTGATTATGATGACGGAGAATTTGGTGGAATGAAGATCGGCAGGGGAAACCGAAGTACTTGGAGAAAACCGGCCCCAGCGCCACTTTGTCCACCACAAATCCCACTTGACCAGACCTGATATAGAACCCGGGCCGCCGCGGTGGGGAGCCAGTGACTAACGACTTAACTTAACGACCGAAGGGTCGGAGTTAGAATTCGGGGGGGGGGGAAGAATTTTCACTTCTCCATGTCGTCCAGACCGACTCTGGGGCCCACCCAGTCTCCTATCCAATGAGTACCGGGGGCTCTTTTCCCAGGGGTAAAGTGACCGGGACGTGAAGCTGATCACTCACCTCCAGTTAGTGCAGAGGTCAATAAAATTTAGATTTATATATCCACCCCTCCAATACGTCTTCATGACATAGTGTTTAATTAGTTAAGCACAGAGACAACTTAATTTTTTACTTATTCTTCCCATAAAGAGTGCATGTTTATCATCCGGATTACATACAACTATTTTCAAAACTTTTTCAAAAGCTCAGTGATATGGTGGATTATAACTTCCATAAATTACAGGGACATTATCTTCTAAAGAAGTCTAGAGCAAACCTTGAGAAACGTTTCGTGTTTTTCTGCGGAGTCTTTGTGCTCGCGACCTCTCTGCGGTTTCTGCTCCCCCCTGAGTTAGGCGCCACCCGAGCGGCCTCCGTAGTCTAGAGGTAACGTTCCCACCTCATGACTCGTGGTACGCGGGTTCAAATACCCGGCGGAGGTCGTCGAATTTTTAAGGGCGGAAAAATTCCGGGAACAAGTTCTCCGGGAGGGACTTTAAGCTGTGTGTCCCGTGTCGTAACTTTACGGCGCGTAAAAGAACCTCATATCTCCAAAGGAGGTCACTGAGCCAAGTTCCAGGACGTTTCCCGCCCAACAGTAGTCTCTGAGGCCTTTGATAGATGGGGGAAGCATTATAGACACCGCTAAGCAAGTGGAGGCAGAACTCGCTT